AATAAATTGTAATTTTGTTTTTCATGTATGACAACATATTTTTTAAAAAAATGTGAAAAAGGACTGGGAGTGATTGTTTTTTTAAAGTAAAAATTAAAGGTCTAATGAGATTTCCGTTGAGATTTTGATTTAATAATTCATGTCTCGATACGGATATTAATGTAATGCATTCATGCTCATGTGTTGCTTCTCCCACAGTCTTCCTCGTGGATGAAGAGAGTCGCTCATCTTCTCGCTCCTCCTGTCCGGAGAGTCTGCTTAGCAACCCGCTGTCATGTGGTTTTCCTGCGCTCTGATTGGTCGAGACGAGGCCTCAGGGACTCACACGGTAATTGCATTTTTTTTTCTTCCCAGACATAAAAAAGCGGAGCAAGAGGAACATGTTGCGTAACTGACATGGTTTCGTCTCTCACCCACACACACACACTCCTTTACCTGTGTTATAATAACAGAGAGAGAGAGAGATGGAACACATATATCAACACAGAGACAAAAATACGGGGAAAAGAAGAGAAGAAAAATGAATGCGAGACAAACACACGTCCTCCATTATAATCAGCGGAGTCGGTGTGGTTGATTATAATGAGAGCGGATCCTGTCAATACACGACTATAAACTAAACCACACAATTATAATCAGCAGAGCTGTACAGAGCAAGCCTGTGGTTGTCTAAATCCAAGAGCGATTACAGTTTAAAGTCAGCATTTTTAATGGAATATTGCAGTATTCATTGTAAATGATTTATCAGTGCATATCATCATAGTTTTAATAATAATCTCTTCTCTGATGACGAGGGCGGGGCTATAACCTGTCACTCACAGGAGATCAGCCAATAGAAAACCACAACCATCCAACCAGCCAATCAACTCCCCACAGACACGATCAAGCCCCGCCCACATGTGTTCTTGTTCCTGAAGCGTTTCGCTCGAGCGTTTCATACTGACTTTAACAAGTTCCTAACAGTTTATGTAGCTATAATTTGAATTTATTTATAAAATGAGAAAAATTTTGTTTTCTTTTCATGCAAAAAGTATTTTCCTTAAAAATAAATAAAGCATTGTTCTTAATAATTGTTCTAAATAAAATTGCACTATTTCCATCACACATCTGATGGACCGTCAAATATTGAAGCCAGATGTGTCAAACTTCCTCCCACTCCGTGCATTCCCATTCCCAGCATCTGTGTGTGTGTGTGTGTGTGTGTGTGTGTGTGTGTGTGTGAGATGATCTCACTAAAGCTGTGTTTACGTTCACATGCTTCACAGAAATGCATTGATTGGGTTCCCATTAAGTAATGAAACGCTTTTTTAGGTCCTTTTTGTAAACTTTCTTCTTGGTTATTCAAACGTTTTTTGATTTTTATTATCAACATGTTATTATAGGTTTCAGCTGAGCCAGAAACATATATCACAGATTCAACTAACTATATACACACAGATTCAAACGTTATTTTTCCAACATTATGAGATCGTTACCCTTATCTTCCGAAAGAAGTAGTCGGCCCAATGTTTAAAAAGTGTTAAAAAAGTTTCAGAAAGACATTCATGAACATGCATGTGTAAACAAAGAGTTGAGAACATTATTAAACACCAGATATCTGTTGTTTGACTGTAACTGGAGGAATGTGTTTGTTTATTATTTTGATCCCCATTAGCTGCTACATTAAGCTGCAGCTATTCTTCCTGGGGTCACAACATTTTTCAACAAAAACTTAACATCAAATACAGAAGTGCACACACCATCATAAATCATCAAACTCACACACATGTGTGTGTTCATAACTTTAGCACTGTTCGCCGGGTCTCTCAGGAATAGTTTCGGCCGTTTTTACACTCCTCCAAAAGGGGAACGCTGTTTCTGCAGATCTGCGATCCTGGAAGCGTTCAGATCTGCGTGCCGAGGCTTTTCTAGAGAACTAATGTCTCAGTTTGGGGCTTTGGCTTTTGTTGGCTCTCCAGTTCTTCGTCATCGGGAACACAACGAGACAGGACAGATCCTGTAACCAGAGACATGCGAGATCCGCTCCACTCGCCGGCCAAACGAGGAACAAATGTTTCCTGTCAGACGCTCTTGGCCCTCGTCCTCCACATGACCATTTCCAACACAAAACCTCCCAGAATGCTTTGCTGCTGGACAAAGGCAGCTTCCGTTCACAAGGTATCGGGTGGCGTGTGTGTGTGTGTGTGTGTGTGTGTGTGTATCACTCGGGTTCATCTCGCTCTCGAGTCTCTTCTGCTCAAGACTGCATTTATTTGATCAAAAATAATACAGTAATACAGAGTAATATTCCTCCAGTGTAAATCATCTGTTCTCTGTGTGAATATACAGTAAAGTGTCATTTATTCCTGAATTTATCATCATTACTCCAGTCTTCAGAGTCACATGACCCTTCACAAATCACTCTAATATGAGGATCTGATGATTAACACACAGTTATGATTATTATCAGTGTTGAAAACAGCTATACATTTCATTTTTTCAGAAAAAAGAAAAGAACAGCATTAATTTGAAAAATAATCTTTTGTAGAATAAAATAATTTTAAAATATAGCCTATAAAACAATACATTACATAATATTGAATGTTAAATAATGACGTACATTTTCAATCCCTCCCCAACCAACCCAGAACAAACTGCCTTAGATGATGTTAATGAACAGTAATGGTATAATATCTATAGCAATAATAATAAGAATGACACAGCAAAATTCAAATAAAAAACTGCAATACTTAAATAATGACAGTGTTAATGTAAAAGATAAAGGGTAGAGATCATTTTCATTTGGCTGAAGCTTGATTCGTTGATGGTCTCGGTGGAGAGATGATGCGACACATGATCACGGTCTCTCCCGCTCGACTGCTCCATTAAACACTGTAAATAATGAAAGCGAGGGTGAAACCACAGAAGCAGGGCCTCATGGGATGCGGATGACATCATCAGTGCGAGTGAAAGGCGAGACTGAAGCTTCTGTGTTTGTGTTCCAGTCGGAGACACGATTTATCACACACACACACACACACACACACACAATAAGGGAAGGTAATGTCAGTGTGTCCACACACACCTCCGGTCATGTGACGCTTTACGCTTTAAAACGAATGGGAGTCAATGGGATGCTAACAGCAGAAGCTCTGCTACAATGGCGGCTCCGTGGCGGATGTAAATATATTTAATAAAACAGAAAAGTATTTTTTCAAACTGGATTCTCATTTTGCTCCAAACCAACACACACACACACACACACTTGCTCTCCTCCAAGTGCATTATCAGAACACCGAGAACACACTCTTCTGAATGCAACACACAGCCTTACACACACACACACACACACACGTCATTTCGGCTCCAATCCCATTAAATAATCATCTGGTCTTTTTATGGACCTTCAGGGACGGTTATGAAATATTAATTAATCTGCTGCTCATGAGAATGTGTGTGTGTGTGTGTGTGTGGTCATCTGACCTGCTCTCCAGGGTCAGTGATGTCACTCATTCATTAGTGAATTATTAATGAGTCCTGCTAACATGAGCCGGTGTGTGTCGGGGTCAGGCGAGGTCAGAGGTCACTTTTTAATTACTGTTTTGTTGTCGTTGGAAAACACACATTTGTACAAATGACACACTGCTTTTCTTTTGATTCAGTTCATAGTGATCTATCTATCTATCTATATGTCTATCTATCTATGTATCCTTCTATCTCTCCATTTTTTATTTTATCTATCCTTTTATCTATCTTTATTCCATATCTATCAATCTATCCATCCATCCATTACTCCATCTATCCCTTTATCAGTATTCAATGTATCTGTCTATGCAGCTTTATTAATATTAATATATAAGATGTTCTGTCACAAACCACTGAAAATAATTTATGAAACAAAACATCAAAATAGTCAAATGTTCATAGGCATAAAACATGTTACTCTCCACAAGAGACGTCCTTCTGTTCTGAGATCAGCGCTACTCTACACCCACACTAACACACCACGACACTAGAGCTATAATCTTCATTACCAAAGTGAGACGCACAAATTGAATGATGAACTCTGCTCGTATGAAGTGAATTCACGTCTTAATCTTTAATTATGCCCACAGGTGAAACACTGGAGGATCTCAGAATAGCAGGAGCGCCCCCTGCAGGCCACGGCTAATCGAAACACTGGAGGACCTCTGAGTCTGAACAGCAGGAGCGCCCCCTGCAGGCCACGGCTCATCGAAACACTGGAGGATCTCAGTTTGAACAGCAGGAGCGCCCCCTGCAGGCCACGGCTCATCTGAGCTGGTACAACTATTGTATACAGAACAAAACTATCACCATCTAAGACCTCTCGATACTTGGGTAACTTTTCAAAACTCAGTTCTCAACCTCTACAAAACACTTCATATACAAGCCACTCTTACATAATTCGTCATTTTTTATGATATTTCACTCATTTTTTAGAGTTTATTTTAATATGGCATTACTGTATAATTGTAGCAGATTGTGGTTATTTGCAGTTAACGATTTTGAAAAATATAAATGTGCAAATTGGTCTGTAGGTACACAGGTTTGGTTGTTTTAGAGAAAATCATTTATGCAATTTAAAAGAAGTAATTAATCAGTGGATGCATTTTTTGCCAAAGCAATGGAAAATGATCCACAGTTTAGTTCACATGGACGTGCTGGAATCTGGGTAAAAGGGTTTTGAAAAAAAAAAAAAAGTGACTCAATTGAGAAATTTCTTCAATGATTGTTTAAAAGAATCTTTATGGGTTAATCGCAGAAGGTCAACTTACTATATATTTAGGGATACAAATAGTTAATCTTGAAACTGCTTTTGCAAAAGCGATGAATGTGCATTTGCACTGCAGAAATCGAAGGGTTTATTTGATAGTTGCACAAATGTAAACCACTGCAAAAAAAGCGACCTTATGTTTTTAAATCTTTAATGGCAATGAAACATCTTTATAAATTACATTTTCTAGCTTTAACAGTACTAAAAAAAAAGTAAGTGCAACAAGTTTGGTATCAAACATGAATCCTTTATTTTTTTTTTTAAATCACCACATGATTAACCAAAGAAAGACTGACAATTTTATTTCTCAGGCATATTGGAGGACGTTTCTGCAGAACATGAATGAACAGAAGTCTCCCTCTAGCGACCAATGCACGTACTCAAGATTTATTACACAGACAATTAAAACATACATTAGAAAGATAAGTAAATCTAAATACCTAAAAAGTTAACACTATATACAAAGTCTTAAATATCATCACAGTTCAGTGAAGTAAAGTAAATGGACAAGCCCTCATCTGAACGAATCACCTGTTATTATAAGCCTCACAGTGTCCAAACATCTCCTGAGAGGCGTAGGTCATATACAGAAACCCATCTTCATCTTTATGGTCCTTGTAGAGCTGAGCCATGGTCAGAGACATGCTGGCGATGCCGGAGTTGTTGATCAGCAGGTAAAACGCTTGATTGGGCATCATGGTCATTCGATTCCTGAGAAAAATCACATCGGACGTGAGGAAAAGCCAGTCTATGGGAAAAACCCACACCGTGTGAAAGTGCTAAATCCAGCCAGGTGACGATCAGCTGACCCCTCGAGCGCTTCACTGCCATGGAATAATAATATCCATCTACTATTATAGCACATTACTTAATAAACGTTTAGCTACTTTTTTTTTTTTTTTTACATATACAGCCAAAAAGCTAAAGCTGCGTTGAAATTATATATATTCGCGCTATTTGAAACGATATTCACGCGCCTATGTGACCGTTATTTTCTGAGGTAATTTTAAACACAATCCGCGGCAACCGTCAGACTCAGACATTAGTGGCATCATAAGAAGTGCCACACACAAATGAACGTGAATCGAATTTCTAATAACTATAGACATAATCATAAGTTTGTTTTTTTACATTTCAGTAAAGATGAAAGCTGTGAAGCGTTTCCCTCACCTGATGATGGTGACGAACTGTGTCATAGTGAGTTCTTGCGGCACGAGGAACTTTGTCTTATCCAGAGGCGGTAAGTACTTCTCTCTTTGATATCGCTCAATAATCACCTGAAATAAAACATTATTTAAAGCAAAAAGCCAGTAATAAAAAACTAGCTGTACACACACAGAACTGGGCGTTTCCTACCGGGATTTTGGTCGGAAATTTAGTTCTGATTCCAGCCACCTCGTGTTTCCTCGTAGCTGGTTGGTAATCAACATAAAAAAAACACCAAGACAACATTTGATTTTGACAGTATGTCAACAGTTCGTCTAGTGCGTGTATGATATAAAGACACATACCTAAACTCTTCCTCTGTTTGAAAGGTTTGGGGTGTTGAGCGGTTTCAAATGGAGGCATGTTGTATTGCTCCACTGACCTGTGGATGCGCGTATTAATTACTGGCGAAGCGCACTACCACTAATTAAATAGTGCGCCGGCTGTGACGTCACGGGCACGCTCGCTGCCGCTTTACCACTTTCAATCCATTATTAAATCAAGAGTTTAAAATAATAATAAAAAATACAATCTGTTGTTGTTTCCAGTTGTTGAGTTGTTTTAGTATGCATATTTTTGTCTACACACTAATAAGGATGCAGATACACATTCCTAAAGTGTTGCAGGTAAATTGAGGGTCTGAATGGATCTTTGTGTTGTTCATGGGTTTGACCTTCTCAGGGTGTGTGTAAAACAGAGGTTAGTATTGTAGTGTTGTATAACAGTTTGTGCATGACATGATCACTTAAACAAATGAAGCATTGTGAAAATATGACACCAGCGTTTGGTTGACTCTCGATTATGTATTGTTAATAACATGCATTTTATATTACATGCTTTCCTTCATTTAACTATTGTGCAGGTGTTCATTTGGATATAGCCTAGCTTATTTTATTGGTTGTAAAATTGTGTTTAAAATATCAAAATCTGTATTTTCATTAGTTTTTATTTTCCTTCTGTGCTTAGAAGATTGCTAACCGCTATCAATAAACAAAACACTCAGAAACTAGCAATGAGAACGTTAGGCGGAAAAAAGAATAACAAGCATCCGAACTACAAGTCCCAGCATGCTCAGTGCACTGGGTTCTGATTGGCTACTCACAGTGCAAATGGTTTGTTCTCTCCAATCAGAGTGTTTCGTGCTCGCAGCGATCTGTTGACCTGCTTGTGGGCGTGAAATGAGCGGAAACCAGCGGTGAGAATTGCGAGTCATTTGAACGAATCGGTTCGTTCGAACGTTTTGTTCTTTATAGGCATATTCAGACATGCGCGCATTTATCATAGACTTTGTTGTTTGATGCATATTTGGTTAAATGTTTGCATACATGTAGTTTATTCATGGTATTTAGTGGAGTCATTTAATCCCCAATTGTGTTTTTGTTAGCCTACATTTCCTACATGCTCAAAAATATATGTTGTGTTTATTTTCACATTGTACAATGTTTTTTAATTGTTATATTAATATCATAGAAGTAGCCTTTACATAAACTGCAGGCAAAATTCAGATAATTGCCAAGGCAACATTTCTCATTTAGGCTGTATCAGAATATACTAACATACACAAATCAGTTTCAATTAAAATAAAATGTGATAAAAAAATGTATATAGCACCTTTTCAAAACAAATCAATGCAGTTTAAAGTCTTTTTTAAACAACAAATAAACAATAAATAATCAAGCACAAATCATGAGATGTGAATGTTCAGTATTATAAGACATTACAAGAAAGCCAGGGTAAAATGTTTTTAATTACATTTACTAAAATAATCAATCAAAACTTTATCTGGACAATAACTTTATTTTAGATCTGCTGTAAAGCCCAAACACTTTCAATCTGTTACTGTAATCTCCTGTTATCACAGTAGTGAAACTATATTGTTAAAGTGCTGTAAATGAAGGGATTTGACTTAAAATATACGCTTATACATCTATTCAAATTCAAGCTAAAAATGGAAGTGATTTACAGGAAAGAACAAGCAATAAAAGTTCTAGATTCATGAGATTTGAATGAAGGGGTACAAATGTTTTAATGTACATTTAAACGAGATGTCACTAAAAATACATGAATTCGAATTCAAGCTAAACATTGAAACGTTCAAATCCATGTTCTTAGTAAGCTGCTATTTCTTCATCCTACTTTGCTGTTCGGTTCTACGGTTCAGCGAATCGGTTCAAACGAACGATTCATTCGCGAATCGAATACAACTAGCGGAAACGTCATGAAGTGACAGCAGCAGCTCGCGGTGAGTGAGCCCGTTTCCCTTCGAGCTCCGAGGCGGATATTTCAGCGAGCGATCGGACGAAATCTAGTGTCCGTGTGGTCGATCAGACCTCCGATTCCCGGCCTGGCCATGGACGAGCAGGCGGGCCCCGGTGTGTTCTTCAACAACAACAACAACTCGGTCCTCCCCGGAGCGAAAGCGCCTCAGCCGGGCGACGGCGGGGACACGGCCCGCGCTCAGTACAGTATTCCGGGGATCTTACACTTTCTCCAGCACGAGTGGGCCCGTTTTGAGGTGGAACGAGCCCAATGGGAGGTGGAACGGGCCGAACTGCAGGTAACGCGCCTTTTGCGACCGTTATTATTTTCTGAGGTGTTTTGAACGCTCTCCGCCAAAAGTCTCAATCAGACATTTGTGGGCTTGTTTTTCTCTCGCGCTCGCTGACGTTAGACACGCGCGCGCGCACACTCACACACTCAACCCTGCACACATTCAACGCAGCAGCACAAAAACTTGAGTTTCTCTCCTAGATCCATTTTATGATATTCAGAATCAAAAGCCGCCTTTACTGCGAAACGAACAGAGAACAGCATTGTATCTCTTAATGTTTGCTATGGAATATGGCCAGGACATGTGCCCGACAGGAATTCTGCACATTTCTTGTTACATTCCTGCTATGCCTTCCACTGAGATTTTAAACAACCTTCATGTAGAGTCGTTCTAAATGTAGCTTTTCATCCTAAAATTAAGTTAAATGTTGCATAAATAAGCCTGTTTGTAGCACCATTGAGCACTGAGATATTTTTGAATTATAGCATCATATGCATGACATTATATATATATATATATATATAATATTATATATGTGTGTGATTGTGTGTGTGTGTGTGTGTGTGTGTGTGTGTGTGTGTATATATATATATATATATATATATATATGCTTGTATGTATTTATTTATATTTATATATTTCTGCGGGTGTATAAACGGCATAATTTACAGGATTTAGCCTAACAACAAAACAATGAATCATCATAAAGAGAATTACAAATCTTTAATGAAAGCATTCAACATTAACTGTCTTGAAAGTAATGTCACATTACAGGAATCTTCATGGGCCTAAAATCAAGCGTCTGGTGTGACATGTTGATGTTTCTGTGAGTTTGTTCCTGTGATTTCTTGTCATGACATCACAGTAGGAGTGCAGTTACATCATCAGTCTGTCACCATCCGCCTGCATCATCTGCATAACTGAGTGATGCTTTGAGACAATGTATCATCTCAACTACAAGGAAGTCCTTAAACGCGAAACAAATCCTGTGTCTGGCTGTGACTATATAGTGTGGACTGTCTGGCTGTGTCACTGTAAAAAAAATATTGTTGGTTTAACTTAAAAAAGTAAGTAACCTGGTTGCCTTAAAATTTTATGTTCATTGAACTGGAAAAAGTGAGTTAATACAATGAAGGAGATTAATTTAACCATCATAAACTCAAAATTATATGTTATCTGAACTAAATAAATTATTTAAGTTGATTTGACAAAAGAAAAAATGTTGTGATAACTACACTGTAAATTTTTTTTGTTGGTTTAACTTAAAAAAGTAAGTAACCTGGGTTGCCTTAAAATTTTAAGTTGATTGAACTGGAAAAAGTGAGTTAATACAATGAAGGAGATTAATTTAACCATCAGAAACTCAAAATAATAAGTTATCTCAACTAAATAAATTATTATAAAGTTGATTTGACAAAAGAAAATATGTTGTGATAACAAATCTTGAAAATATTTTTTACAGTGTATAGTGTGGACTGTCTGGCTGTGACTATATAGTGTGGACTGTGGCTGTGTCTATATAGTGTGGTGGACTGTCTGGCTGTGTCTATATAGTGTGGACTGTCTGGCTGTGACTATATAGTGTGGACTGTCTGTCTGGCTGTGTCTATATAGAGTGGACTGTCTGGCTGTGTCTATATAGTGTGGACTGTCTGGCTGGCTGTGTCTATATAGAGTGGACTGTCTGGCTGTGTCTATATAGTGTGGACTGTCTGCCTGGCTGTGTCTATATAGAGTGGACTGTCTGGCTGTGTCTATATAGTGTGGACTGTCTGCCTGGCTGTGTCTATATAGTGTGGACTGTGGCTGTGTCTATATAGAGTGGACTGTCTGGCTGTGTCTATATAGTGAGGACTGTCTGGCTGTGTCTATAGAGTGTGGACTGGACTCTCTGGCTGTGTCTATATAGTGTGGACTCTCTGGCTGTGTCTATATAGTGAGGACTGTCTGGCTGTGTCTATATAGTGTGGACTGTCTGGCTGATTTTCTGTTCGATGTTGTTCTTCAACACCTGTAAGCCCTTGACAGACACACACACACACATATACAAACACACACTTCTCTGTGATTGAGATGAGATATTTACACCTAAAGGGCAGCGATTGATTAATGAATGCTTCGGGAATGTCTTTGGCATTTATGGGTCGTTTCCCCGGACGTCCGAACAGTCGCTCCTGCTTTATTATGCATGTTGAATGAAGGACAAACCAGAAAGTGTGAGTGGAAACACTTACAGGTATTTCAGTCGTCAGATCAGTTCTGGATATATGAGAGTATGGGTGATTGTGGTTTTGATACCGTAAAATAATAGAACAAAGGTACAAGTGACCATTGAATGAGTTTTCCAGGTATTTAAATGCATCAATCTGATGTTGTTTTTTGTTAGGCCTGTTTGCATTCACTTAAAACAAGTTAAGATATAACTAGCTGTTAATACCTCACCATAGAGCTGCACTATAATGATTTATATAATAATCACCATGGTTTTTCTCAAAAATTCTAATTACGATTATTAATCATTCTTTTTACATTTTTTACTAAATTTAGAAAAAATTAAGAAAACATCAACTCGAGGTTTATTATTTTACCTTATAGCGTACCTTAAAGCATCTCTCAAAAGCTAAAACACTGAAATTCCTAACATTATTTACAATAATTCCAAATTGTATTCATGCATTTTAATATAACCAACAAAAATTACTTTGTGGTTGCTGAATAAACGCAACCTCTGAGCTACAATACAAACGCAAACGCTATATAACCGAGATTCATGCTTGGATGTATATTGCAAATAGCGCTGACGATTTTGCTTAAATAAACAAGAGAAGCAGAAAACAGGAATAAAGGGGTCATGAACTGCAAAATCAAATTTTCTTGTATTATAAAAATATTCTGTGTCTTTCAGAACTCAAAACTTCCTCATTAAGTCCAAAAACAGATTTTATTGCATTTCTCGTTTTGGATTTTGTCACATTATGACATAGCGTAACGAAAGAAGGTCGACGCCCACTTGCACATCTTCGCCTCTCTAGCCCCGCCCACGTTGAGGAAAACCACGTTGCAGTTCCTGCCTTGTGATCCTAACATTATGAAAGCGTGGATCAAGTTTATTTTAAACAAAGCTCCAGATTGTGTCAGTAAGACGCTCTTCATTTGTACGCTTCAGTTTACTGCCGATTTGTTTATAATCCAGACGCTGTTTGACGCAGGGAGTCTGAAAATTAAAGTTGTTGAATCCGAGAGTGTTTTTACCATGTGTTACCATTGCTTTATCTGACACAGATCGTTTGATATTGATCACTTTACTCTAAAATGATGAATATAAATGACAGTGCGACAAACAATGGTATACTAATCATTCATAATTTGTTTACACGAAACACCGTTAAAAGTTTTGTAACTTCATGTAAACTTTATTTGCCACAACCAAGCGTTTGTTTTGTAATGTGTGTGACTGTTTCAACTATGTGCACCTCTCCGTTTAAACACCTTGAAAATACATAAGAGTAAATCCATGTCAAATCAACCAAGTTGAACAAACGTAAATGGTTAAGATATCTTTAACACTTCATGAGTTACAGGCATGCATACTTGGGGCAAAAAACGTCTTCGTTGTCATACTTGGGGCAAAAAACGTCTTCGTTGTCATATAATGCAACACATAATGATAAAGTCGTCAGATTCGACTAATAGACCTACAAATCGTGTGTAGAAATAAAACAACGATGCTGCCATCTTTCTAAAGTCATTTTACCCCCCTGTAATTTGGCTCCAAATCTCGATGTATGGCGAACATCGTAAGTTTTCAAAACCATTTCATTCATGTAATAATAGCAGGGAAAATTAAAAATAATTTTGATATGCAAAACTCTTAGCCAATCAGAGCAGTGGGCGTTTGACTGCGACTCGCCTTTCAAAACACCGTCTAAAAGAGAAGCTCAAAAACTGCTTTCTACTCTCAGATTATAATGTTTTTACGAGACAGCACTGTTGACCAGAACACATGAACAGTTTCTGTCAGAACGGTGTCGTGTAAGTTAATAACTAATGATCTTTGCAGCGGAAGTGAATCAATCATGACATCAGTATTGTTAAAGCGCTGATAAAGGGGGCTTGACATTTGTCCGTCATATTTGATATTGTGGACATGTACATTTCTATTTCAGTGTGCGATTGGAACCAAAGCTAGATGTGTGTAGATGAGGAGATCCTGACTGATGTTGGCTCTTTCGTAACCAGCATGCCTTTCATCGCTGTGTGTGTGTGTGGGCGACGCGTGTAGGAGAGGTTTCATATGTTGAAATCGCCCTCCAGCACCTCGACAATCATTTGAAAGGAATATAATTCTCCGTGTTAGCATGTAGGCTCTGCTAGCTGGAGCCAGCGCCGCGGCGCAGGAGTGGAGAGGCCAGGGCACTGCGGCGAGTGTGTGTAGGCAGCGCTGCTGGGAGTGTGTGTGTGTGTGTGTGAGGCTGGGGAACAGGACAGACGAGCTGATGTTCGTGACTCACGCTGCTGATGATGCTCTCGCTTGAGTCGTGTCCTCGCCCGGGAAACGGAGATGCTAGCATGACCAGCGAGGTTCACTCACACGCTAACAGAGACGGCTCAGGATCCTCAAGTAGAGTCCTCTACTGTGTTCTTGTTAATGCAAATATCCATATCACACTATTTTTCAAAATTATACCAGTTTCACGGTATATGACGGTATTTTTTACATAATGTGTGTACTGTGTATAATTATTTTGTGTATAAATACACAGACATGCATGACATATTTAAGAAATATGTGCATGTACTATACATAATTTACATTAAATGTAAATATAATTATTTTATATATAAATATCGAATTTTTCTGAAATATATTTCTATATGTTTTGTGTATATATGATGAGAAACGTGTCTTGAGCCGAGACTCTTGCAGTCCATAGTTTGTTTACACTCCGATTGAGTCAGAGTTACAGTAGCTGAACTTTTCCCTTTTGTCTTCTCTGATGTCGGCG